GAGAGAGAGAGAGAGAGAGAGAGAGAGAGAGAGAGAGAGAGAGAGAGAGAGGAGAGAGAGAGAGAGAGAGAGAGAGAGAGAGAGAGAGAGAGAGAGAGAGAGAGAGAGAGAGAGAGAGAGAGAGAGAGAGAGAGAGAGAGAGAGAGAGAGAGAGAGAGAGAGAGAGAGAGAGATGGATATTACAATTGTCAGAGACTCGGGGAGGACGGGAAGGAGACTGATACCTACAGAGAGGAAAGATGAGTGAGCAAGGGGTTTGAGAGATAGGTAAGGAGACAGGGGAAAAATGAGATTTTATTGCTACGGTCCTAATAACACTTCCCAAAATAAAATATAATTGGCCGTAATTATCGAATAAGAATCGGAAATTGTCAATTGAACGTCTGATCCGCCCTATACCCTGTTTGACATGCTTGCACCAAAGCCAACTTGCAGGCTATACATCGAGCCAGTGGTATATACTATATACTATACATCTCTCCCGGTGGTATACCTGCATAGAGCCGAGGAGACATCCGGCCGTATTTTCCCACGATCAGTCGGATTGCAAAGCCGAGTAGGTATTTTTCGTCCGTGGCAGGCGACCGGCGCAATATCCGTGAAAGAAGCGCCCCAGTAACAAAAGCACGAGCAGATCTCCTAAATGCCGGCGTTCGGGTGGGACTAAATGCTCACTTCGAAATCTAAGCTGCGTTGCGGCATTGGCGGTTATGTGCGGCGTGTATGCCGCATGATTAGTAAGCGGCGACCACTAAATTAAAGACTCAAACGCTCCGACCGGTTCTCAATGAATAACACTGCATACCAAAAATGCCAACCGCTCTCGTCATAAGATATTAATTTTAGCTTTAAATAACTAGGTTTTCTACATCATCATCTTGAACCAAATTAACCCTCGCCCGTAAACGGCGATCTGCCACCTTCGCCCATGCAGGGGGGGGGGTTGGTGCGACCCCCCCCTTGGCGTTTGAAAACGGAGCGTCGTAGAGCTTAGCGGAAAAGACCAACGGATTGCTCTCGCCGAGATCTCGCGATTGGTGGTATATTTTTTGGTCCTAGGTCAACATTTGACCTACTTTTGACCGGTCAAAGGTCAAATTTTCGGAAAAATAGACTTTTTTCAACTTTCGGCGGCGATTGCGGCAAAACGGTGGGAGATATCGACTTGAAACCTTCACTATCGTGTTCCTTGATCAATTCTCTATCGTTTGGTATGTATTTCGTTTCCCTAGCTCTAAAAATGGCGCGTTGGGAGCGCCGGAAGTCGGCAAGGTCACAGTCGGCGGCAGAAATTCGAAAAATCAAAATTTAAATTTTTGAAATCTGATTGTATTTTTGGATTTGGGAGGTCCATTTGCTCCCTATAGAAGCTAATATTGCTGCATATTCCCATTGAGGTGACAAGAATTAGCAAAATAGTGGTTCGGGCGCTTTTCAAAAATAGTACCGGACGCTGTTCCTCTTGTGACGTCATAGCTCCGTGACCTGACATGACCCGGTCAAGTTTCTTATACCATATGATAGCCAATACTTGCCCCAACATGCATGGGAAGTTTCATCGCGATCCATCAACCGATCTCCGTACCACCGGCAGTAAACCTCGGGCGTTGGCACTCAGTTTGTGAAAATCCGGCCGGAGGCTGTTCCCTTTGTGACGTCATAACTCCGTGACCTGACATGACCCGGTCAAATTTTTTTTATCAAAAGATGCGCAAGGTTTGCCCCATAAGGTACCCAAAATTTGGCGGCGCTGCGCGCCGCCGTTTTTGCACTATTTCCGAAAAACCTCAGGGGGGGGGGGGTTGCACCAACCCCCCCCCCCCTACATGGGCGAGGGTTAATACTTTCAACTTAACTCACTCATTCCTTCCTTTGTTGGCTCCAAACAGTCTTTCGATTGTCTGGAAATCGTATGCTAAATCCCGTACCTGTATGCGACTGGTGCATATAAAGGCCGATAAAAGAATTTGAATAGGCTCTGGCATGCGATTTCCTGGCTACCCAAAAAAGTCTGTTTCAGTCTTGCTATCAAAACATGACCTCGCCCGCACAGGGGGGGGGGGGGGTTGATGCAACCCCCTAAGGTTTTTCGCGAATAACTCGCTTAAAAAGCGGCTGATCGCGACGAAACTTTCAGTACTCTCGCATTGATCAATTTAACACCCACTCTGAAAATTTCATGACCCTGACCCAAATGACCTTTGACCTGTGACCTACTTTTCGAGACCATGTTTGGCCGGAACCGCGATTCAGCGTATGTCGGCTCGCATTAGCAGCGCGTTTGCAGTCTTTTCGTGGTTTCAAGCGTTCAAACATGTGATATGATGTTGTCCCCATGCATTAGGGTGGGTGTCAAGGTCACCTGAAGGTCAGGTCAGGTCATTGACCTTTGGTGACCTCGGTTCACTTTTTCGAGTTTGACATGTTTCTAGGCCAGTTTTTTTCTAGCTGAATTCGAATTAAGCAACCACATGAACGTTTACAAAGTAGTTTTGGTGCCTTCGTAACATGTTACGAGGCTGTCAGAGGCGGTTGACACCTACTACAAATACCTGGCAGGACCTCTACTGGTTGACCTGACCTGACCTAACCCGACCTGGCCTAAATGAATGAAGACATCATCTGTGATCAAAACTAGCATGGTATTCGTGATCAGCACCCCGAAAAACCCCATAGCAGCCACACTACGACGTTCTAACAGGTCCCAATTTTCCCGCCTTTTGGGTCATTGACCTGACCTGGAAGGTCAACCGATGACCTAGGACCTTAAAATTGGGTATCATCGGCTTTCTCTCGTCACGGGCAACACGCTCGTTTTTTCTGCGAAGCTCTAGCTTGATCAGGAGCGAAACGGCAAGGGCTTATACCTTATACGTTCGCGGCTGAGTATTAATTTGGTTCAAAACAATGATTACGGAGCGAGCGAAGCGAGCGGAGTCTTACGTAGAATAACGGAAATTTCTGAGTATGAGCGGCCGGCCGGCCGGCCGGCCGGCCGGCCGGCCGGCCGTGCGGACGCTTTTGCGAGGCTTATATCTCAGCAACCACTTGACCGATTTACATGCGGTAATTTTTGTAGGGTAGCTTCATTCCTTCTACCAAGTATTGGACTATTCCCGATGCATGTGGGTGACCCCTTATGCACGTGCCACGTGCAAAACGAAGAGGTGTCAGTTTTGTAATTGTTGCAATATCTCGGTAACTACTTGGCCGATTGCGCTGAAAGTTGGCATGTAGGTAGGCACCCACTAGGCACTGCATGTCCATGTGCCAGAGTTGGGGTGCCGCTGCACGTGCGCACGTGCAGGGGTCGTTTCCAGATCTCGAGAACGGCTCGACCGATTGCGCTCAAATTTGGTACACAGTTAGGGACCGGTTACTAGGGTGCCGTGCACAAGTCAGTTGGGACCCATTTTGCACGTGCGCACGTGCAGGGTGCCGCTTCCAGATCTCGAGAACGGCTGGGCCGATTGTGCCCAAATTTGGCACATCGCTAGAGACCAGTCAGTAGGGTGCCGTGCACAAGTCAGTTGGAGGTACCCCCTCGAAATTTCGCACGTGCAAGACTCACCCCCTCGCTCGCTCCGTTAGTCGCCCCAAAAGGCGCTATACTGGTGTAGATAAGTTAGTTATTTAAATCTAAATATCCTATGACGAGAGCGATGGACATTTTTGGTATGCAGTGTTATCCATTGAAAACAGGTCAAAGCTATTGAGTTTTTAATTTAGTGGTCGCCGCTTACTAATCATGCGGCTTACACGCCGCACATAACCGCCAATGCCGCAACGCAGCTTAGATTTCGAAGTAAGCATTTAGTCTCACCCCGGCGGTCGTGAGAATTTCTCTAGTTTCTGAAGATTTTTTCGGGACCCATGCTCTACTCATACTGGATGCGAATATACGCGCCCAGTATGGTGACCGTCTAGTGTGCTTCCAAGGCTGAGTACCTGATATCAACAGGAGTTGTTTACTATTTTGCCTTACGTTGCTAGGTGGTTGCTAGGGAGCTAAGGATACTCTCTTGCGCGATCATTTGCACTTATTTTTCCTCATTATATCGACATGTTGCTGTTTCTGAGACCTAACTCATGCTAATAAAAAAGCAGTTTTCTTAAAGTGTGTATTTAAGTGCCATAGTATTAACACAGCTCTGCAATTCTGCTTAAATATCTGCAAAATCCTGACTTCCCAGGAAACTGTTGGTGGTGATGGGATCGAGCCCGTCGATGAAAAGTAAGTCAATATTCAAAGGCTCCAAAACGTTATTTCTTGTTGTTCTGTGAAATAGCAATGCAGAGACCGATGATAGTGCCATTGTTGAGCTTTCAAATGAAGCATTGCAATAAGTAGTAAGGTTAGTATCACCTAAGATATCTTCCATCAAATATTATAATTCTGCCATTGTCTTGCTGTAGAACACGGTTACTTTCAGTCTCTTGGGAACACGATTTGCCGATCTCAGATCGAAAAACACTTCAGAAAGCGGTAATAGACAATGAAATTTCGCACCTCATTTCATCTCGGGTTTTTATAGGTATATCCTGTCTAGAATTTTCATAAATCCGACGTAAAAATGGCCAATTTCGTCGGATTCCGAATTTTTGCCATTGGGTCTAATGTAAAGCATGGCTACTTTCAGTCTCTTGGGAACACGATTTCCGTACCTCAGATTGAAAAACACCTCAAAAGTCACAGATAGTAGACGATTTAATCTACAAGATAGCATCTCGCTTTTTCTGTATCTGGTCATATATCTTCATAAAACCCTCTCAAATATAGTCAATATAGCATTAAAGTCTATGGATTTAGAAGAATTTTCATATCCGACTAGATTTGGGCTACCATGTCTGTTGACCGGGGACCGGAAGCTAGCCATTTTATTGTGCATGGTATTGGCAGTCTCTGGCAATCTGTGTCTCAGCTCAAGTTTCAAGTGCTATTTCAGTTCAAAACCCCAAGTTACCCAAGTAATGAATAATGTTTTTTTTTTCATTTTCAGCTGTTAAGCATGTCTGCTGCAAGAAGGGCATCTGACTTTGTGACAAGCCCGATGATGAAGCACACAAATGGCCAGGTCTCGAATGTGCCGTTCATTATTGGAGTTGGAGGAGGAACGGCTTCAGGAAAGGTGGGTTCACTCTCCCGCTCCCTGCACCGGCCTGGTGCCAGTGGCCTCCCCGACCTCACCTAGCCCTCGCCCGCACATGGGGGGGTTGCCACCCCCTCCCCCCAGGTAGCCTTTCTGCTCTGCACTCAACATTTTTAAAGTTAAAAGCCTGATTTTTGGTATAGCTGCTGCTCTATCCTTTCTTGATGTCCACTGAAAATTTCAAGTTTCTGTGGTTTTTGGTTTCGGAGATATGACCTTATTTTTCAGGTCATGTCATGACCCAAATGACCAATTCTCAACATCTTGCGTTGGCTATGGGCCTTGTGAGCTTTTGACACCTTGATTTCGGCTTTTTTTGCCAGTCTTACCTCCCACCTATCATGGAACATCCTGTTCGACGATGTACAGATGTCAAGATCAGGGTCAAGGTCAACCTAGGTCATCTAAAATAATTGCGTTTTAGGCAAGCGTAATTTACTTTTCGTGAAGTTTTTTTGACTGCATTTTTGGTAAAAGCTTCTCAGATCATGATTTCATGTAATATGGACACATAAACACTCGGTGCACACATCAGTATACACACAGACACACACACAGACATACAAACACATATAACTGACCTTGACCTATTTTGACCTGAAATGACCTCAGCAGCAAAAATCTGGTCGGGTAGTGTTACAAAGAGGTTCTAGCTGGCTTGGCACCAGAAAACGCCATCGTCATCGGTATATGCTAAGCAGCGCACTTGATATCCAACGATGACCCAAAACAGTAACATTTTTAGTTTGACCTGCCCTGGAAGGTCAATGACTGACCTGAGAAGGTGAAACTGGGTATCATTGGATTCGCCTCTTCCCAAAGAATCTTTTTAGTCTTTACCGCGAAGCTCTATCTCCAACAGGAACGAAATGGCGCGGGGGGTGGCAACCCCCCCCCCCCATGTGCGCTCTAGGATGGGAAAATGGCATGTGCGGGCGAGGGCTAGTGCCAGTTTGAACGTTCCGAACTTCGGACAGCTTGAAATTTGAATATTAGCATGGCAGTGGCGGGTCACGGGCTATAGGTCATCCTTCGAGCCAGTTTGCGGATTGATTGGCGTCATTTCTTGGTCACCATCTTCATGATTTTGTTCGTCACCACCCGCGTCCGTCACGATCGGTGCACCCGTTTTGACTCCAGATGCCGAAATGCTTGAACACGCATATGCACGCGCACGCACACGCACACGCACACGCACACTCACACACGCAGTTGCTTTATACGTGATATCATTCGAAGGAAGCACTAATAGTGTAGAGTGTAGAGTGTAGAGAGCCATTCCCTTTGATGGGACTCGAAGCGATGCAGCTAGGCAATGCATAAGGCTGATTGGCGAATTTCAGCTTATAGACAGGACAAGGAAACATTCTCAAAAATCAAATCCACACGGAACAAACATATTTCAATAGTGTACGTGTCTCGCTGTCGTTGTATCAGTTATTCCTCGTCGGATCTATTTACATGCGATAATTTTTGTACGGTAGCTTCATTCCTTCAACCAAGTATTGGTTTATTCCCGATGCATGTGGGTGACCCCTTATGCACTTGCCACGTGCAAAACGAAGAGGTGTCAGTTTTGTAAAAATTGCAATATCTTGGTAACTACGGGGCCGATTGCGCTGAAAGTTGGCCAAGGCCCTATATAGAAGGTATGCTCATTAGGTCGAAGAGCGATTTCCGTGACGTCACAGGTACGAAGGGTCGGACGGCTGTAATGCAATCCTATGGAAAATGACCCAACTTTAGGGCTCTCCCACATAGCTGCCAGACTCGACACCAAGGTAAAAACCAGTATAACATCTTTTGGGGCGAGTAACGGAGCGAGCGAGAGGGTGGGCCTTGCACGTGCGAAATTGCGAGGGGGTACCTCCAACTGACTTGTGCACGGCACCCTACTAACCGGTCTCTAGCGATGTGCCAAATTTGGGCACAATTGGCCCAGCCGTTCTCGAGATCTGGAAGCGGCACCCTGCACGTGCGCACGTGCAAAATGGGTCCCAACTGACTTGTGCACGGCACCCTACTAACCGGTCCCTAACTGTGTACCAAATTTGAGCGCAATCGGTCGAGCCGTTCTCGAGATCTGGAAACGACCCCTGCACGTGCGCACGTGCAGCAGCGTCCCAACTCTGGCACATGGATATGCAGTGCCTAGTGGGTGCCTACCTACATGCCAACTTTCAGCGCAATCGGCCAAGAAGTTACCGAGATGTTGCAACAATTACAAAACGGACACCTCTTCGTTTTGCACGTGGCGCGTGCATAAGGGGTCACCCACATGCATCAGGAATAGTCCAATACTTGGTAGAAGGAATGAAGCTACCCTACAAAAATTACCGCGTGTAAATCGGTCAAGTGGTTGCTGAGATATAAGCCTCGCAAAAGCGTGACCACGGCCGGCCGGCCGGCCGCTCATACTCAGAAATTTCCGTTAATCTAAGGAAAGACTACGCTCGCTTCGCTCGCTCCGTAATTATATCGCATAAAAGCTCGAATCAAGACGAACAAAAAACCTATCTGACGTTTTTACGTCTTACTAACGGCTTAGACTCTATTCAAGTATATTCAGAGCTCTGCATTAGCTCACTTTTTCTGCCGTCAATGCCACTACAAATGCCTAGTCGGCGCACGTGCGCTTGTCGAGCGGGGACCACCAGTCGGGCGATTCGGAGCTGCCACCCAATCAGAACGCCGCAATGCCGTGACGTCATTGGTCGCACACGACACGTTACGGAGATAGGGATGAGACAGCCCTGAAAGTTGACATGTAGGTAGGCACCCACTAGGCAATGCATATTCATGTGCCACAGTTGGGTGCTGCTGCACGTGCGCACGTGCAGGAGTCGATTTTAGTTCTCAAGAACGGCTGAGCCGATTGCGCTGAAATTTGGTTCATGTTGAGGGACCGGTTAGTAGGGTGCCATGCAAAAGTCAGTTGGGACCCATTTTGCACGTGCGCACGTGCATGGTGCCGCTTCCAGATGAAGAGAACGGCTAGGCAGATTGCGCTCAAATTTGGTACATACATCGCTAGAGACCGGTCGGTATGGTGCAGTCCATAAGTTAGTTGGAGGTACTCCCTCGCAATTCCGCACGTGCAAGGCCCACCCTTTCGCTCGCTCCGTTGGTCGCCCCAAAAGGCGTTTTACTGGTCTCACTTTTCAGATAAAGGAAACGAAATTATGAGTCCAGGATATACGAGGGGCATCGAAAAGTTCTGATCATCACCATGAATTAGATGTGATAGAAATTTGACTTTTTTACATGATGTTCATTACTCCTTTACAAGTCACCACACACGACCGCAAACTTATTGCATCGTTTCTTCAGCTGCCTCAGGCGGTCATTGTAGGACCTTCGCACTGTCCCGTAAACCACTGCTCCACCTCATCAATGACGTCATTTCTGTTCCTCAAACACCGGCCATAGTGTGGATTCTTCATCTCCCGTAACAATCAAGAGTCAGGTAATACCTGATCAGGTGCATTTGTTAGATGCGGTAGGATTTAATGTCCACATCATGTTGTTTCGTTTCTTCAATCGCAGCTCAGGACGAATGGGCGGGGGCGCTGTCGGTGCGGATAAAACATCTTTCTTGAGCTTTTTTGCGGCGATTCTGCTTGAGGCCATCTCGCAACTTCTTCAAGTGTGCATTAGTGCTTGCTTATCCTTATCCGACCATCATCAAGACAGTCGGTACTGACTATCCTACGCCAGATCCAGAACACTGATAGCATTGACCTTCCATATCGGCTTTTGCATCTTCGCCTTTTAAGAAGGACAGATGTGCCGTGCTTAAACTTCTTGATCATCTTTTTGTCTCTGGATCATACACATAGACCCAGCATTCGTCACAAGTCATCAAATGATCGAAGATGTCTTCAATTTCCTATAAAGGCCTAGTTTTCATTTTGAAAGGCCAAGACGCATTTTTCCCTTGAAAAAAGTAGACACACGAACCTCTAAGTGGGCTGACTCCTTTATCGTCTGTAGTACTTCGCTGATAATATTTTCAGGCACTGCCAGCATTGAAACCTTTCTGTTGCACAATCATCTGAAAGGTCACACGACGATCTGTAAGGATGAGGTCCTCCACTTCCTTCACAGTCACCACCTTGTCAGTCATTGGTAGTCACTCACTTCTTGACTCCCCTGCAAGGGCCATGCAACCAAGTTGAAAATTATTTCTTCATTTTCGGTAAGTGCATGAGATGGGCTTTCCTCGCCATAAACTAATTTCACGTTCTTGATGCATTTTCTCAGTGTGATACCGTTTCAAATGCATTAGTTGGATGACGGTTCGGTCCTCAATGGGCCCAATGCTAATTTGTTTTACTTCTAAGTCTCTCCTACATAAGATAAAACCACTTCTCAGGATTCTCTTTGCGGGAACATTGTTCTTAAGAACCAAATATCATACCAAGCAAAAATCATCAAAATCGGTCTATATCTTCTATGTGATGATCAGAACTTTTCGATATCCCCTCGTATAGTGGTTACTGGTTTCTAAACCTGGCCGCCAACTTGGCTATCTCAACTCAGAACTAATGTGAAGGTGGGACAGTTCCTTTAACCCGGCGGCCGCTGGGCCTCCGCGCCACCCGCCGGCCGCTGGGGGGGGGGCATAAAGTTGCCCCCCCTTTACTTCTGCGACGATATCGTCGCAACGCGAAGAGATAGAGTAGCGAAACTTTGCACACATCTTCCTGAATACCTAGCCGAGGTTGTGTCCAAATTTGGTGTCGATCCCATTTGAAATGACGTCACAGTGACGTCATAAGTGAAATTATAGATTTGCGACTCTCATATTCCTCACGATACATCAGATATATGGGACCGAATATAAAGGGCCGATTATTGGTCAGAAACTAGATGGAAGTGTAGTAAGATGTTTAAGGATGACAGCAGGTGCTGTCTAGTTCATTTACAGTCGAGTTTCATGCTCAGCGTCATCAGAAACGGTCCATATCGGAAAAGGA